GCGCTCACACGCACACACACTCACACGCTCACACACACACTCAGACACGCGTACACGCACACACACATACACGCACACTCACACGCGCGCGCACACACACATGCACACACGCACACACATGCACACGCACACACTCGCACACACATGCACGCACACACATACACACACGCACACACGCTCACACTCACACGCACACATACACGCACACACATACACTCACGCGCGCATGCACATGCACACACGCACACACACGCGCGCACACGCGCGCACAACGCGTGGGCGTCCCTGGCACAGGTGAGGGAGGGAAGGGAGAAGTGGAGACACCTTAGAGAAAGTGAAAAGCCAGCCACAAACTGGAGCAGACTTCTGCCTCCGGAAGATCCAAAGGATAAGCATCAAAAACACATCAAGAACTCTAGCAAATCCACAGGAAAAGAACAAGTGATCCCACAGAAAAAGATAAAAGACACCAACGGGCATTTTTACGGGGAAGGAAACACATTTGTCCCACCCGCGTCTGAGGGATGCTCAAGCTCATTGGCGATGAGGGAGATGCAAATGAAGACCACAATGCGAGGCTATTTTACACCGTCCGAGGAGCAGAAATAACAGCCTTCAGCGCCAGGTCTTGGAGGAGAGGTGGAGCCGCAGAATCTCCAGTGATTGCTCGTCAGAGGGCAGCTGATATCACCACTGGCCAGGGCCAGGCGCACACAATCGAGCCTTATCTTACAAAGATGAGGCCCAGCATATCCCCTTCAGGCATGAAATCAAGAGGCACTTTGGCAAGTGCTCCAAGAGGCATGGACAAGAACGTTCACAGCTGCCCTGTTCTTAACAGCAAAAACCCTGAAATAACTCGAGTGCCCATAAACCAGAGAACGGCTACGTTAATTACAGGGGGTCCATTCACACAGTGGCACGTCACTCAACAGTGCAAGCAAATAAACCAGTTCCACACGGCATCATGAATGAATCTTAGCACAATGATGTTGAATGAAAACGCCAGACCCCGAAGACAGATACTTGCTGTGAAGTCTCGACAAATAACAAAGTTGGCTCCTTCCTTCTAATACCTTTGTGTTTAGGGAGTGACAGGATTACCACCCAAAAGACTCCACGGTAGTACTGAGAAATTATTATAACCAGTAAGAAAATGTTGTTGGCCCCTGTGCCCTATCAACAAGTACTTCAAAATGTAACAGGAAATATCCTATTCAAAATAGCCGCAAAAATGTAAAATACCTAGAAGTGAACTTATTATGCAGAAGTAAACAGTTGTGCAGGACCTATACAAACACAATTATAAAAATCACTGAATAATATAAAAGAAAACCTTAGAACAGCTTTTTTTCCCTTATTAAAAAAAATCCAAATCAATTAGAATATAGTCTAGGCATATATGTATGTATGCAGGTAGGTAGATAAATGAAAACTCTATTGAAACTCTATTTTGTGATCAACACAAAATTCAGGTTCCCCCAAGGAGGAGGCAGGGAGATGGATGGGGGAGGCGTAACAAGTAAACAGATCTATCAGTAAACACCAGTGAAGTAAACGTGGGCCCTGCAAAGCTCAGATGCACAGGATTTCACCCCAATTTGCCCTTCTGAGGTTGGAGGGAGGAAAAGGAAGACATTAGATTCATTTGGACAGACTTTATTCAGGGTGTAGGCAAGCTTATCTATCTTTTCAGAAGCCCGAGGGTTAGGGTCCGGGGTTCCAGAGGGGCAGGTCCCGCTTGGAGAGATGGGAGCCTGAGGCCTCTGTAGGAGCAGCGGGCCCTGGGTGAGCACCTGACTCTGCCCCTTCCCACCTGAGACCCTGGGCAAGGTGTTCACCGCCCTGAGCCTCAGATGCTTTCCACAGGAGGTGCTCCTGCCTGCAGCCCCCGGGAAAGCCCTGAGAAGGTAAAGGCCACACTCTGGAAGCAGAAGAAGTGTGCATCATCATCACCCCAGCCCGGAGCCTCGGGCCCTGCACTGCCAGTCTCGCAGCCACTGCCTGGTCAGCAGGCCCCAGGCAGTCCCACCTCCTGGAAATAGAAAGGCTGAGGCCGAGTTGCTGAGAAAGGCCCCTGCAAAGGGACCAGAGCCAGTAGCAACGTGTTAAAGTCAGACGCTGGGCAATCCAGTGAAGTTAGAGAAAGAGGCCTGCAGTCCCTCAACCCCTCCTGGCCACTCAGACCTAAGCAGTGTGCAGGCCCATCCCGCCCTGCTGAAGTTTGTCTGTCCCTGAGACCTCCAGGCCAATCAAAAACTCACCTGTGCCCACAAGGAGAGAGGATGCCCCGCCCCCCGTGTCTTTATCTGTTCTTTTCATTGCTGTAAAATCTCTTTTATACCCATGTATCTATCTACAAACATACACAATAGCTAACCCTTAAACAGAACTCCCATATGCCAGATATAGTGCTAAGTGCTATAGACATATTCATTCATTTATTTATTTTTTTTTTTTTAAATATGTTTTATTGATTTTTTACAGAGAGGAAGGAAGAGAGATAGAGAGTTAGAAACATCAATGAGAGAGAAACATCAATCAGCTGCCTCCTGCACATCTCCCACTGGGGATGTGCCCGCAACCCAGGTACATGCCCTTGACCGGAATCGAACTTGGGACCTTTCAGTCCGCAGGCCGATGCTCTATCCACTGAGCCAAACCGGTTTCGGCAATATTCATTCATTTAATCCTCACAACAATCAGATATAGTAATCTATTTTACAGATGAGGAAACCAAGGCATAAGGAGTTAAGTAATTTGCCTCAGAAAATCTAGTACCAGAATCTGGTTGTCTTAACCTTAATCATCAATTTAGGAGACCATTACAGATATACTAGTATATGTGCACACACACAATACACATATATACACACACATATATACACATAAATATGTACATGCAGTCATGTGCTACATAACATTTCAGTCAACAAGGGTCCACATATCTGATAGTGGTATACCACGAGTGTATGACTATATTTTATATATCATTTTAAACATAATTGCATGTGATTGTACACATGTTTTAACATGTTTTTAAATTTTCCTTTTGTATATATTTTTTAAAATTTTTAATCCTCATCCAAGGATATGTTTTTTATTTTAGAAAGAGAGGAAGGGAGAGAGAGAGAAACATCCAAGTGAGAAACATCAATCAGTTGCCTCCTGTACATGCCCTGACCAGGGAATAAACCCGAAACCTAGGTTTGTGCCCTGCCCAGGAATCAAACCCACAACCCTTTGGCACACAGGACAACATTCCAACCAACTGAGCCACACCGGCCAGGGCCCTTTTATATTTTTATATTTTTTCTTTCCCCAACCATAGAATTCATGTTATCACCCTATTGTGTGATTATATATATTTTTTTATTTACAATTATATATGGACTTTTAAATACTGATTCCCATGATCACATGTACATATACTAGTATAAGGTTCCTTTTGTCGTTATTTTAAAATAGTGGATTATGTTAAATAAATAAATATTTATTTAATGTCTCCTTTCTCACTTGCTTATACCGGGAAGCCCCCTGGAAGATCTAACTCACTGTTTTAACAGTCACACATTAGTTTACCCACCATGTCATTCCACCTGGCCCTCCCGCTTCTTGTCATCTTCTAGAATCCCATCCCCAATGCCCATGTTTCTTTAATCCATTAGGAAGTCTGATGGTGGAAATTCCAGGCCAGGTGAGAGGAAAGGCCAGTGAGAAGGCAGCAAATGGTGGCTCTTGCCCATCCTCTGGCTGGTGGCCAGCAGCCCTCAGCCCCCAGAGGCAGGAATGCTGACTGCATTATTGTGAAATCATTTGTATATTGTGAAGTGCTTTGCATGTGATGGAGTGATTTGCATATGGGGGGGGGCATCTAAGAGATCCCAGAGCAGCATCCCTGAGTATCTTCCTCCCCCTGCAAAGAAACCAACCCAGGGTTTCCACTTCAGAACTCAGGGAGGGGCCCAAGAGGGCATCCTGAGCTACCCATGGGCCTGGTGGGGTGAGGCAGCCAGGGGTCTTTCAGAGGAAAGCTGATCCCACCTGGAAGGAGCTGGGAGTCTAGACACTGGATGTGAGGTGGTTGGTACAGGGCATCATGGGATGCAGATGAGGGTCAGAGGCTTGGACCCCATCACAATCTCTGCCATGTAAGTACCCACATGCCCCCTCCTGAACAGTCTACAGTCCTGGCTGATTCCCAGAGAAGGATGCAAAGTGGAAACACAAGCCAGACTCCCACCCTCTGGAAATGAGAGGTGCTATCATGCTCTGGGCCCGGGGACACCCAGAGGTTTGAATCCTGGCTCTGCCATCTGTTCCATTGCTTCACCCTGGGCTAATGGCACCCACCTCAATGGGATAGAATGAAGATTCAGTGAGAATGCGAGTGAATGGCACATAGTAGGTGTTCGGTAAATTGCACTTACAATAATAATGCTATAGTGTGCTGCCCTAGTCTAGGAAGTCAGGCCAACTTCCTCTAGGTGAGGTGAGCCCTTGCTTCCTCAGGTTTGGAGTTCAGAGCAGCAGTCAAGCCACCATGCACTGGACCCCAAAGGGTTACAAGCTCTGGAGACAAGGCCTGAGGTTCCCAGTGAAAAACCAAAGCATAAAAATAATTCGATGAGTAAGAATAAAATTCCCTCTTCTGAGGTTCCCGGGGCTAGGCCCCTCCCTGTGGCGGGCACTTCCCCTTTCCCGTGTTCATGGAGGAGCCAGGCCAGGCTGACTCAGAACTGGAGCGCGGCAGCCATCCTCCCACCCGGAGCCCGGCCGCCGGCCGAAGGCTGCGAGTCCGGCAGTCGAGGGCGCCCCCATGCGGCTGCGGGGGAGACTGCAGCCCGAGAGAAGAAGTGGCGCCGGACCCGCAAGCCCAGCCGCACCGCCACTCGCGGTCCCCGCGGAGCCACCCCTGGCCCTGCCCAGCCTGCTGAGCGCGGTACCCAAGTTCTCCCACTTCCGCCCGGCCCTCCTCGCCGCCCCTAGTCCGGCCCGAGCGGAAGTGCGCTGGCCGCCCGGATCCCCCACGGCCGCGTAGCGGAAGCGCTCCCGGACAGCCACCCCCACTACACCGTGGCGCGCGGCGCCTCGGGTTCCGCACAGGTCCCGAGTGACGGGCCCGCGCGCTGGGGCGGCTCCGGGCCGGGGGCCGGGCCTGCGGGGCCGGGCGGGCAGTTCCGGGGCGGGCCGCCGCGTCTGCAGCTGGATGGCCGGGGCCCGCTCGGAAGCGCTGCCGCCGCCGCCACTGCACGGTGAGTGACCGCCCGGCCTCAGGGCCCGCGCCTGGGCGGGATGGACCCGGCGATCCCCCGACCCCGGCCCGGGGCCGACCTGGGCCTCGCGCCCGGAGCCTGGAGTGAAACTTCCCTGGGCTCCTCTGTCGCCCACACGTCACTCCGCATCTCTCCCCGGCTCTCCCCTGCTCGTCCATCTCACCCACGATCTCTGATCTCTCCCTCTCGGCTCTCTTGCTTGCTTCTTTCCTTGTCCTCTCAGACTGCGCACCCCTTCCCCATTCCCAAACCTCACCTCTGCGTGATCCCCTCAACCACACGTGACCCGCCTCGGCCTCCGAGCCCGACCTGGCCCTGGCCGGCCTCTGGTCCCCAGTGGAGCCCCGCGGGTTCATCAGGGTCTCCCGTTCCGGCTGGAGATCCCGAACGTGGGCATCTTTTCGGAGCAGCTGCTTCCCCTCCCTCCCACCTCTAACAGCAGATGGGGAAACTGAGGCAGTGACTATGCAGTCAAGGTCCCAGGCAGCACGCGGCGGGGCGGACCGCGTGCATTTACACCGCATGCCTGGGTTTCCAGACTGAACCTCACTTGGTTGACTCACATTCGAGTCCTGTGACCCCGGCTGGGGACATTCCTGCTGCCCAGGGCTGAGGCCTCCACAGCATAAGGAGGGCGCTGTGCTTCCGCCCTGCCAGGCGCTTCACCTGCATGACCAAGCTCATCTATGTGCAGGACCATGTGAGGGAGGCAATGCTTATCTTCATCCCATAGACAAGGAGACTGAGGCTCCGAGAGGGGCTCTAGGGACTTGCCCACGAGCACCAAGCTAACAGCAGTGCTCTGAGCATCTGTGAGGCAGCTGCTGACGGAAGAATCCTTTCTCTTCAGCCCCACCTCCTGTCTGTCTCTGTGCCCCGGGGACACTGGGCTCATTTCCTAGGAAGAAGCTCTAATGGTCCTGTCCTAGCCCAGTGGCTTGGTTTCGCAGCCTGCACCTCCTAATGTCGCCCCATCGAGCTAGATCGTGCCAGCCTCCGACCCTGGGGTGTCCTCGCCAGGGCACATCCTGCGGCAAAACCTCCCCTGGCAGCCAGAGGCACCCGGCTGGGCCGGGCCCTGCCCTGCCGGTGGCTGAGGGGAACCAGCCAGCGCCTCACCCTGTCATTAGGAAAAGTTTAGCCTCGGGCAGACACGCTGACACACTGCTGGAAGCCGGAAGCCGGCTCAGAAGGAAAAACTGGTCCTTGGCGTGTGGAGGAGCAGAGCCCCTTTGCTCTGTGCACCCACTGTTTGGAGCCACACAAGCCCTGGGCCAGGCAAGCAGGAGGGTTAAGACGCCATGTCTCATACGCAGGTGTTCAGCCAACGGTGGCAGCTCATGTAAGTGGCCTTTGTGTTTTTCAGCACCTGGCATGCCTGGATGTCCCTGCTCTGGCTGCGGCATGGCGGGCCAAAGGCTCCTCTTCTTCACTGCTGTTGCCCTGCAGCTCCTGGGAGGGGCTGGGGGTTCCCAGCAGGCCCTCCGGAACCGGGGGGCTGCAGCAGCCTGTCGCCTCGATACCAAGGAAAGTGAGTCCTGGGGAGCCCTGCTGAGCGGGGAGAGGCTGGACACCTGGATCTGCTCCCTCCTGGGCTCCCTCCTGGTGGGACTCAGCGGGGTCTTCCCACTGCTGGTCATTCCCCTGGAGATGGGGGCCTCACTGCGCTCAGAAGGTGGGTGACCCTCCCCTGGCGCCCCGGGGCAGCCAGCAGCGTGGGAAACATGCTGCTCTTCCCCGGAGAGCTGGGTCTCACGTCCTGGGTCCAGTGTGTCCGAGGTGGAGGGCGAGGACAGAACACCATCTCTCACCTTGGTCCTGTGAGACCAGGGCGCACCATGCTCATCTGTTCATTCATTTACGCGTTCTTTTATTCTGAAAGAATAACCATTAGCAAACAGTCACCAAGAAGCGATGTAGATAGTGGTGAGAAATATGGATGTCAGCCCGCCTGGGTTCCAGTCTCGGCTCTGCCACTTACCAGCTGGGTACCACCGGGCAAGTCACTTCACTTCCCTCTGCCTCAGGCTCCCAGCCTGAAAAATGGGATAACAGTGGTGTCTACCTCATAGGTGCTATTGTGACAATTGGATGAGCTCATACCAGTAAGGGTCCACCTGGTGCAGGGAGAAGGCTGCGTGTGTGCGGGCCCCGTGCTGGGTGTGCGTGGCCAGCAAAGCCCTGCCTCTCCCTGCAGTCTCTGCTCATCATGCAAAAGAGCCCTCAAACTGGAAGCCCCTGGGCCAGGCTTACCCAGGAACATGAGAGAGGTTGGTCGCAGGCCTGGCTCTGGGGAGGGGTCTGGAAGGTGGGGCACGGGCACGGGTGGAGACTTTCCTTGGCTACCCTTTCGGATGGTGTGCATGTACTGTCTGTCCACCTGGCATGTTGTAATGAAAAGTCCACGAGATCAGGTGGGGAGGTGCCAAAAATACAGATGCCTTGTGCCCCCACCCCGGAGTATGACACAGTGAGTCTGGACAAGGGCCCCAGGCGCTGTGCTCCCCTGTTCATTCTGTCCCTGGGCTGAAGGCTGCTGCCACGGCTGTGAGTGGAGCCCCCCTGGAGCCCTGCTGTCACGCCTGTTCCTCAGCTCAGTCCCTCTCATGGCATCCCTGCGACCTGCGAGGTCAGGGTCGGGAGGACTTGGAT